ATTGAGAGTTTGAACACCACATCGTTTACTTCTGACTGTTCTCTTTTAGATATGGTAATGGATCGTCAGAAATCAATACCAATATAGAAATGCTAAATCTAGGAGATAATGAAGGTGAACACCTACAAACAAATAACGATGACGGATACGAATGAAATCCGCGAATGAAGTAGAATTCTGAACCTATGAAAGGTTTATTTAAACCGAAAGACTCGGAGATTCAATTCAATCAATATTAGATTCTAGAAAGCAATGCAGTAGTTAACTTTTTCATTGATTTAAGAATACAAAGTGATGGTTCCAGTTGACTTCTGGTTAACATTATAAAATTAGATGAACGAATACCTTTGATCAGGCATGTGGTAAAGTAGCAATACAGTGTTACTGATGAAGTATATCAAGGGTACCGTATAAATGTTTTACAAAGAGAATAGAAAACTATACACGAAATGGAAAAAGTATATTTCATTTTAACTTATCTTTATGTTTTATATATAACTCTCGTACTGTATTAAATTCTTATCTCATGTAAATCTTTAATTGATGTTTAGAACGGAAAAATAACCAATACAATTTCCAAAACAGTAAACTTTTTGTCATACTCTTAAAGTCAATTTAGCACGTTTTTTATATTGCTTTAAATAGCTTCATTTATACAGTCAATTCTTAATATCGCTTTAACCTGATTTATACAGTCAATTCTTAATATCGCTTTAACCTGATTTATACAGTCAATTCTTAATATCGCTTTAACCTGATTTATACAGTCAATTCTTAATATCGCTTTAACCTGATTTATACAGTCAATTCTTAATATCGCTTTACCCTGATTTATACAGTCAATTCTTAATATCGCTTTAACCTGATTTATACAGTCAATTCTTAATATCGCTTTAACCTGATTTATACAGTCAATTCTTAATATTGCTTTACCCTGATTTATACAGTCAATTTTTAATATCGCTTTTACCTGATTTATACAGTCAATTCTTAATATCGCTTTAACCTGATTTATACAGTCAATTCTTAATATCGCTTTAACCTGATTTATACAGTCAATTCTTAATATCGCTTTAACCTGATTTATAAAGTCAATTCCTAATATCGCTTTAACCTGATTTATACAGTCAATTCTTAATATTGCTTTACCCTGATTTATACAGTCAATTCCTAATATCGCTTTAACCTGATTTATACAGTCAATTCTTCATATCGCTTTACCCTGATTTATACAGTCAATTCTTAATATCGCTTTAGCCTGATTTATACAGTCAATTCTTCATATCGCTTTACCCTGATTTATTCAGTCAATTCTTAATATCGCTTTAACCTGATTTATACAGTCAATTCTTAATATCGCTTTAACCTGATTTATACAGTCAATTCTTA